GCCAACGATATTTGTACATGTGTTAAGTGAGTCTCTCAACCTTTATAGAGTCTCACAAATAAGAACCTCTGATGTTTCCTCTTTTGGATGTTATTAATTGTTTATTGTAAGAAACCGATTGAGATATCCTCAATAGAGGTGCTCTAAAAATGGTAAGAAAATATATTTTTAAAAATTTATGTCAAATATCAATAAAAATTTATAATGTTTATATATTATTATTATATTATTAAATGGTTATTATTTTCTTTTATCCAATATTTCAATATCATATTCTGTATATTTGGTATATAAATATATATATTTGGTATATACATAAATTACTAAACAAAAATAAATTTGTAATTATAAAATAATTTCTTATATATATAAATCTTCAAACCTCGTAAAACTATCTTTATTTAATTATTTTATGATTTATTCAAATTTAGAAATTTTTAAATATTATTAATAAATTAATATTGTATGATTTTATATAAATTATTTATTGTATGTATTTTAATAGTTTTATATTTCTTGTTTACCGTATTTACTGTTATCATACGAGTTACATAAAATTTGAAACCATAGCCACTCATTTTTACAAATTCTCGCAATTGCATTTGTCTATAGCCGCTAAGTTTAAACCAGTGATCAAACCCATAGCCACTTCATTAAAAGTAGAAAAATTAGCAAAAATAACTAACAAACATTTAATAATTCATTAACTAACCAGAACAAAAAAACCTCACCAATATTTTCTGTATTTTATGTATAATGACAATTTTGACATTTTTTTCTTCCACCTCTCTCTTTGTGAGCCTAAAACCAATCTTCCCCATCTCTTCTTCTTTTAAGTTTCAATTTTTTCATTTTTCTTATGTTTTTTTCCTCAGAGCCTACCAACAATGAAGCCAACGTGTTTATTTGGTTTTGTGTAAGTTTCTTCTTCTTTCGTTTTGTGCAACGAAGCCAGTGTGTGTGCATATGTGCGAAAAAACATATTCGTCCGACCAACCTCTAACATAGTTATACACTTAATTCATTTACTTCATAGCTAGACTTTTTTATTATAAATCATAAATTGGTTTGGTGGGGCTGTGGTCTTTAGGTATCGAACTGGTTTGGTATTAAGTGGCCCTTAGTCTTGTTGCTCGCTTTACCTGTCGATTTGTGATCTTCTTGGGATCTTATACTTGTTGACTCTGGCCTTTGAGGTATTTCCTCCTTGATTCAAAGTTCTTTAGGTTGGTTCTTTGATCGACCTGTTTGTCTAGGTTAATTGTTTTCGCTGAGGTTGGTCCAAGCTCTCTCTCCTCCGGTTGATCTGTGTGCTTTAACCTTCATTGCCTCCTGGTCTGGCTTAAGGTGATGTATTGGTGCTGCTAGTTATGAGTGACTCTTTCTTTGGTGACGAAGATGACTTCGAGGTTGTTTCCTCGTCTAGCTGGTTGTTTAGTATCATCTCTATCCGTTTCTCGAATAATTCTTCTATTGGCATTTATGCATACCAACGCCATGCCTTCGAGGTTTGGGTTGTATTCAATATGAAAAAATTTCGGATTTGATTGGGTTCTAAATTGGCTTGTTGGTGATCTCTTCTTCTTGGATTATATTGGCTCAAGTCACTATTACTTGGCTTAGTTTCGGACTCGAGTATTGGTGAAGTCTTCTCGAGTGCGGTTTGCAGTTGCATCATACCCTTTTTCTATACCTATCGAAGCTTGTGTTCTAAGACTTGGTGGTTCAATGGAAGGATGGCATCTAGCTTTGGCAACATTGGAGTTGTATGGCTTGGATTTTTAATTTTGGTGTTACCATGTCTCCCTAGGTATAGGTTGGTCTTTCGGTTTTAGAATTCAACTTTGGTACTCGCAATGGTTCCGCTCTCGTATCCCACCCTCGTATTTTATCATCGCATTCTACCTTGGTATTTTAATCTTGTATTATAATTTTGTATTCATCCGGTGTTCAATATAATAATTCAGATGAAAAAAAAAAGGTTATTAATCAAATAAACCCAGGTAGAAAAGTTTAGCGTATATTATAAAAAATGTGTGAGTGTCCTCAAAGTCTAAAACTCATCGTTGACAAAAGAAAAAAATAATTTAAATATATATAGAGAGGCAGAGTAAATAGACGGTGAGACACAGGAAAAAAAAATCTTGAAAGAGAGAATTGTCAAATTTTCAACGCCAAGCCCCCTCTCTTATCATCCGTACATATCCTGAAGTAGGATATATTTTCTATTCATTTATCACAATTTCATAGCCTCTCTCTCTTTTTTTTTGTTAAAGTTCATAGC